GGTGTACCTACATGCTGCAAAACAGACATAACCAGACTCATTATTTTATTTTATATTTTGTTACATCACATTATTGGGATTGCTTGCTTGGTGCACTACATATTACTCTTTTGTACATGTTATATTTTTAGATTTGTAATGCCAACTGTTAAAGTTTTTGATTAATTAGTGTCTACATATTTCTATTTTTAAATAACTCCTAATTCGTATCTTTAGAGCTCGCGGTCAAAACTCCCCAACAAATATGTTTTTTGCAGTGAAAAATATGAAAAATCGGAAAGACCCGTCAATTTTATTTGAAAGGGGGTCACTTTAAAGTCACTATTATTTACTCCATTTCCCTAGTGAGAAGTTATATTTCTCTCCCTAGGTCAATAAAAAAGTCCCTAATAAATATTGAAAGATGTTTACGTTTTTCAGTTTGCCCATCTCTATAAGTTCAAGAGAGATTCCAGCCATTTTCAGTTCTAAAATCACTGTAACTTTACCATTCACTAATTTTTCGCCTTTTCCAAGAGTTTTTCATATAACTTTTATCTGTTTTCTGCAGACCGAAAAACTGTTGTGTTAGTAGTAAAAAAAGTTCTTAATGTACTTCGGTTGAGAAGACTAATGAGACCTCGCACATTATATCCTCTCGTTCAGCAAAAGTTCTGGGTATATAATAGCTTACTTCTCTTCTCTCTTTTCGTCTCTACCTAGGTATATAATATACAATTAGCCTTCTTGTTTCAACTTGTTGACAAATCGGGATTCAAAGTTGCAAAAACAATTGATATTGCCTGCATGATATTTTGGTTTTCCGGTTAGGGTTTTTACCAACATTATTGCATTGGGTCTCCTTACAGTACAAATGATTAGAAAAGTAGGTGCAACCGTTAAAATCATTTGAATAACAAGAAGAAAATCTAGTTTAAACAATTGATTTCTTATTTATTGATTATTTTACTTACGACAAAAATAACTTTTTATTTGCGTAAGAGACATTTCAACAATAAAACACATGAGATCTACTTACGCACTAACTTATAAGTTGTTCATAATGTCCATTTTCCTGTAAGCAATAATAAAATCTCTTTTCGAACTCTTCCCTAACATTTCGGAAAACTGCACCGGGAATTGACCGGCATTCTGCTACAATTCGCCTTTTAAGATCATCAAAATCAGCAAGTTGTCTTTTATAAACAATGGATTTAAGATGTTCCCAAAGGAGAAGGGTGTTAATTCCGGTTATCTTGGAGGCTATTCAATTGGTCCCCTTCTGCTAATCCATCTATCCGGTAATATCTCGCCTACGGTCGGATAGGAAGGAAATAATGTGGAGCACCGTCCTGCTGCAAAGTTAACGAATCATCCTTTAAAACTGAATATACCTTCTGCATCAATTTGACTTGCTAGCTCATGCGTGATAAGAGGTTCAATAGTCTTCAAGCATATTAAGGTCTAGATCTGTCAAGTTTCCTTCAATAAATAAATGAGCAATAATAGCATTTCCAAGAATACCAGCCCAAACTTTTTGAGGATATTGTGTATGTCCTCGAAATCTGTGGGTTTGCGTCACCTCAATATCGTCAATTTTGTTTGTTAGCATTTCCATTTAGAAAAATCCAACATTTGTTGCTGAAACAGATATTCGGCGTTATATTAGGGATGGCGTTGAATTGACGTCTCATAAATTCACACAACTCTATTCTTCTATCCAAATCATCGTCATAGAGTTCTTGAAGTATCTGCATTTTGCATGGATGGAGTTTATGCATTTTCAGTGCTTTTCTTACAGTCTAGTCTGGTAATTCTGCCTGTTCTGATTCGTTGCTAAGGAGTTGGTGGGCTCTGCAGCAAATAATCCTAAAATCTTTTCGATCTGATGATCGATAAAATAAATACCGTTCTTCGTGTGCACGTTTCAACCTCTCTTTTTCTCTTCTTCAAGAAAATAGAGTTCTTTCTTCAAAAAAATAAACCATTCTCACACTTTATGCACTTAATAACAGTTATCACTGGACAGCTCAACAAGCAAACGAATTAACAATAGTATTGCTTTGCTTTTTTTCTTAAAAAAAAAACAAGCCTTTTTGGCTTTTCTTGGTAGAATAGCAAGGCTTTTTGTGGAATTTCATCAATACATCCATACATACATACAGTTAATTTGTCTTTTCCATGAAATAGTATAATACATAATAAGAGTTGTAAAGAGCAATTTACGTACGAATAGAAAAGTTGCGCACGATGCCGCAAATCGTCGAGTGCGTAATTCTATGAGTACGTAAATGCGTTACAACTTGAATTATGTACCATGCTTTTAAACCATCAGACTCTTCAGTAGGGTAAGAATTTTTTAATAGAAGATACAACGTTTAAATTGTGATAAATTAGGACAGAACTGTGCGTTTGGTTTACAATGCGTAAAATGGAATTTACTTAGATGGTAGGTAGTGTGTTTTATACTACTTTCAGCAGTGGTCGTAAGTAAAAATTATTTATTGATTAGTTCATTTGTGATTTATGCAAAATCTTATCTTCTGAGGCAATTAGCCGCTATGTTATATGGCAGTTATATGAGAATAGAAAATACTTAAACACATCTGTAATACTTACAGATAAATTTACTGAAGCCGATTTTAGAAAACGCTTTTGTTTCTCAAAGGAAATTGTCCAAAATGTGTTGTTGCCATTAATCAATCGCCAAGAACAAGTCACAAATCGATGCCTTCCTGTTCTTTTTATAACACATATTTTTAATTAGTGTTATTGTCAGTCCCTACTTGGTGAAAAATTTGCGGTGGCTTTCACCGCAAATATGTCTTCTTTTATGAAAAAATAGTTATTTTGTAATTTATTTATACAATACATATCTTATCCTTCGAGGCAACTAGCCGCAGTGGAAGCGTTTATCTTTTCGATCTTTGACGGTTTTCCAGCACCGACTTTTAAAACAAGAAAACAACTTCACCAGCTAATAGTAGGGGAGGCGCCATTTCCTCTCATTTTATTTTTTGAGTATAGATTATTGAAATGATATCTAACCATGAAATAATCGTCTTGGATTCCAGTTGTGCAACATTGGCTTGCAGGAGGGTATTTTAAATTATTATATAGTATTAATAACAAAATAGCCTCTTGCATGAAACTTACTCTAACCGTAGATTTGAACCTAAAATCTGTAAAAAATATTGTCTTCCATCTGTATTCCACAACAAACTACGTCTTCCACCCGCATCAATAGGCGAAAAAAATAGAAGAAAAATCATAGCATCTCAAGTGAAACTTGATGAGTAAGGCTCAACTCTTGCACAACTAACTTGTAAAGCACAACATAGATCGTCTTCCAAGTCGATAAAAGTGCTGCCCTTTACCTGTTTGAAAGATGATAATGGTTAAAATAACAGCACAACCTTAATATTTATATGATGAATTATTCATTTAATTGATAAAAAAGTATTCAATAAAAATGAATTTTACTCCTTCGCTACAATTTTTTATCACCACATTGCCACTGCGAAATAAAAATAATGATATATAACGCATGTTCTCAATCTCACTACCTGCTCGAGAAGAACTGAAAATAAGTAATATGTACATTTTAATAATATTGTTCCTAATTTGCATATATAAGCAATGAAAGCCAAATAGCTAATACTGTTTAAGTTGCATTTGGGATCGGCAAAAGACAAAATGTGAGTGATCGGCTTGGGTCATAGGAAATAACGCTTTTTATTAGGGAATTATCGTTTAGCTAGATTATAATAGCTACAAACTGATCATTATACTACAAAAAACGCTGGTTGCAATTGAAGTCTTAAATGTGAATTGATCAGTTGGCTAGATATTTTTTAGAAGTGAACTAAAAAAGTCGTTTAATATATCATAAGCGATTCAGACGATTTTGATAAAACGGTTATAGTTTATTGCTAAACAAACTAGGTATATTTTCATCAATTGAAATCGCTGGAGTCTTTCTAGCGGCGCGCTCAAAGGGCAACTGATTAGTTGAATGAATACAAAATAATTCCAATTACTGTTATTCGAGCTTTTAGGCCGAAATATTTCTGCATTTGCACTTGCAGAACGTCAGAGATAAATTTTTTTCTAAAACTTTATTATTATTAATAATTATTTCTAAAAACTCACGAGGTTCAAGCAATTGTCCAATTTTAGAAATATAATTCCATGTAGCTTTTTCCCGCTTCTGGAACCGGGTGTATTTTACGTAATATGCTTTGTTTTTGAACAAAAACAAACTGATCCATAGAATAAATTATTATCTAGTAACTGTGTTAAACGTCATAGTAATGAATATATTTAAATGCAAAATGAAATAAATCTCGATTTCGGATGAAATCTAGAATTGTCTCCTGCATGGTCTTATTCCGTTGAACATTTCTAAATCACCGTGTTCTCAATTTCCGCTTCATCTACTGTTAATAGAAAAGTCATGTTTTTTCATTTCTAAACGCCCTTTTAAATTTATAGTATTGTCAAATGTATATAGCTTACAAATAGATTTTTCTGGCAACATTTTAAAATGGTGCCACATTCCACAATATGTTCCATTTGGACCGGGCTCATCATTTAGATTTAATATTAAAATTGATCGGCCAAGAAGAAGTGAAACAACTTTTGTTTACTTTTTCAAATAACGTTTCTTCGTTTGTGCATCAAAACTCCGATATGGAAACCTCCGATATTCAGAACAAAGTTAAAGAAAATGTGGATATTCAAGACGTTTTTTATTTTTTCCGCTGCACTGCTTTGGCAAAAGAAGATATTTAAGTAGTCGCACCAGACAATAATCTGAGAGTCGTACACGCTCACATTGAGAACTGATTTGAGTCATGGCATTGCTATTTTGATTCGAATTATTAAATACGAGATATTACATTAGTTATAAATATTAATAAAAAATATACTAAACACAGCATAGATATGAAAAATATGCTAAATCTGTGAGCCTACAATTTCTTGCTTTCTGTTAAAGTCTGGTTATGTTCTGTTTGCAGCTATGGAGGGTCTGTAGCCACATCAGCGACTGGTCCTGGGCCTTCGACAAGCGGGATGGAATATCTAGAAGCCCTGGACGAATCCAGTCTCACATCCATGGATATTAACATCAGCGATATAATAGGCTACCAATAAATGAGCAGGCAGTCTGGCCTGCTTCATAATAATTCAAATTTTTTAAACTTATATTATTATAAGTCTATATATTATATATAGTATACTTATACAGGGTGTATCAGAATATGTGGACACGCTCTCACATTTGTACAGGGGACGTTAAAAAACCATAACAAGTTTCTATAAAAAAATTTCCAGAGTAATTTTCCCTGTAACATATTTAGGAAATAACACTCCCTCCTGAACCAGAAGGTCTGTATGATCTCAGGTGCAAATCGATTTTTTGTTTTAATACCTTAGAATTCTTCATGCAATTTAATTATTGTTTCATACATGAACAGCATCATTGCTCTTAAAAATGACCGATGAAAATATTTTTAAAATTTGGGTTTGCCAGGGATGGACTAGGTGGAACACTAATAGTTATTTTTTATAATAAAAATATCTTCGAAAACCTTTCTATTTATCGATATGAATCAAGTGCCTTTTTTTAGTTTCAGGTTAAAGCTACCTAAATACATTATTTTTGTGTCTTCATTGAAAAGGGTAAAAAATTACTATTATTGTGCTCCACCTAGTCCATCCCTGGCTACGCTAAAACCGAAACGCTAAAAATGTTTTCATGTGTCATTTTTAAGAGCAATGATGTACTGTTCATTGCATGAAAAAATAATTAAATTGCATGAAGTATTCTAAAAGTTATTTAAAAAAATCGACTCTCAGGTGCCTCCATTAGAGGCTGGTCATTTTTTTACAGAAACTTAATATTTTTTTAATGTCCACAGTACAAATCCGAGAGCATGCTCACATATTCCGGGACACCCTGTGCAACATGCGTTATAACTTAATTAAGTTATATAACGCGTAAATAGTAATATACATTTGATATTACTCAATATACATATATACTATTGTAGTGTTATAATATGAACTGAGCTCATATTATAGCACGCAAAAATGTTGGTTCACCGACATGTGCAAGCTTTTTGCGTGCATTTTTAATATTCATCAAATTGAATATATTGTGGCAATGGTTGAGATTGTCACGTGTCGGATTTTATAGACGTGCTATAAATTGTACTAAACTAGAAAATAAACTAGAGTTGAACAAGAAATCACTACCTGTGATTTTTTCACAGTGATTAACAAATTGCAGTCACAATATGTGACGAGCATAAAAATAAACCGTGATTTAAAACGTGATATCAAAAAGCTACTTATATTTTCACTGCTACCCTACTATTGTGAGTTGTGAGTAGGTGCATATGTTGCACACGTGACCCGGCGAAAGAACGAACCCAAATAAAATTATTTTGTTCGCTATGCAATGTAAAGCTTGCATTCTCGGGTTTCCTTGAGCCTGAAGATTATTAATTTTGTTGGGAATCGTATTTCAGTATGCACCAATTCATTAGACGCATGATACAATGAATACAAGGTAGGATATTCATCGGTCGAAAATTCGATTTTTGTCCTTAAAATCATTTGTACTTTTGTAAGTATAAAATATTATTTGTTGTATCCTCCTCATTTCCAAATTTGGATTCGGAGTCTTAAAAATCTGGCGCCGATTTTTTTTTAGTTATTTGGGAGTCAACAAGTCATATATCATAACATCTCAAAAAATATTTTTGGTTTAAATGTTTCAGAAAAGTAAGGTATCACATATGATACCTGGCTAGTCAACAATGACAAACAAATTTTTGTTGGTTAATTTATTTTATTAACAGAAAATGTTGAAATACACTGTTTTTTTAACACAAAGACAAAATCCTTTAGATTAACAAAATATGACTAATTTTTTTATGAAATTTAGTTTTCGTGGAATTTAGAGAAACAGTGTCTTATTGAGAAACACAGGAAAACATTGCATGTTTTACATTTTACAAATGTTAACATCTTACACCCAGGCTATCTACATTTTAACGTGTTGAACGTGAACTGAGCTTCAGTCACATTTATTGGCACATGTTTTGCATGTTTTCTTCTGGAGCTACGATCTAAACTTATTCTTCGTCGATTCCGGGGCCGCATATCATCGTTCCTACTCTCAGAATCCGTATCGAAACTGTCACTATCCTTCGATATACCATCAGCTAGCAAATCATTCGCCATGGAAAATTTAAAATTAAAATAATCTAATATCTCTTTGCGCTGTATGCTTGCGTCAGCAGCATCCTGGCGATATTCAAGCCCACATACAAGCTAGTTAGTTGCATTGACAAAATCAAGAAAATTGAATATAGCTCAAATTGTYCATTTCTTAGTCTTTGTGCGCATCGAATAATTACTAACAACTCGATCTAGCAAATCTACTCCACTCATGTTACTGTTGTAACTCTTCACAACTGCAGGTTGGATCACTTGAATATCTACGTTCAACTTTTGACCTCCGTGTGCAAGAGCACACAGGTGCTGCGCCAGAAACAGAAGATGCAAAATGAACTGCTCTTGAATCAAACCATTTTATTGCACATATTTTCTATCTTCTCTGATTAGCATATCAAAGGAACCTCTTCCAGCTTTTTTGGGCTCATTATCTTTCATGAAAACTATTTTCTTAGGGATACGGTGGTTCATAATGGTTCCAGCTATTGTAATAGAGCGCAAAAGTAGTGTGTCAATAAGCGAAATTGAAGTAAAGTACCTCTCTGTGTACACTGATGTTCCTTGTGGTAGCGTATGTGTTAATTTTAGGASCATTCGACCGCCAACATTCAGTTTTTCCGGTGTAGAAATCAAAGCAGACACTATGGTATGWTCTTTGCCTTCATACAATTAAAAGTCTAGAGGGATTCCTCCAGTAGCAGTCATCACAATTTTTTTTAAGCCCAACAGGATTAGGTTTACCACGCGCCTACTGTTTCATGGCCACTTTTCCATGAAATGGTATCATTTGCTCGTCGATCGATCCCTCTTGTGGTAGGAAATTTTCTCTTCAAGTGATTTGGATGTCTAACATTGGTCGTATATTTTAAAACCTGTTTGCTTCTCTCTGTTCTTTACTCACATTATCATCAACTATCTTTAGACGAGTTCGGAGAAAATAAAAGCGGTTTCGTGAAATATTGTCCGAAATAATAGGGACCCGGGAATCTCTTCTAGACAATTTGTAAATTCCAATAGTGATGCAGCACGCAAAGAATACTTTCATTTCTTTTGAAGTAGTACCTAAGGATTTCCCGGTAACAAGAACTTCTCGCATATTCGAATATTTTGCCACTGCTTCAAAAAAACTATCGCCAAGGTATCGATTGAAATAGTGAATTGGCTTCTTGACGTCTCTAACTTCCCGATTACGSTCAAATTGTCTTGGCCGGGCATRAAAGTCACCACGAACCCATCTTATTGTTGAAGTGGTTAGGAAATTTRCAAGAGGCACGTTGTYATCAGACGAGTCACTATCTCCATCAACATCTGGAACATTCGTTGGCTGTTAAATTGCCTCGTCTTCGTCCTAACTGGAACCAGACAAAAGACCATGATCTAGGTCCGATTCATCCAWGTTTATGTTGGATGTAATTTCCTCTAGCTCACGTTGTGTGAGCCACTGCTCTACAAATAAACAAACAATTMTATTTTATAAAATTCTTAGATKCAATTAACAAAACWCGAAATAACGCCTTAATCCCTATCCTAGTTTAGTTCCGYCTATGCACACACACTACTAAAAAGAATGTTAAAAAATAAAACCAAGCTAACATCTATTTACAACCCAATTATMTAAATAAACCATTACGCCCACAGTATCATCCCTGATACCCCGCCACAATGACCCCATCATCCTTAAAAAACTTATTTTTTAATACATAAATACATTACATTTGTTCCGAATCCTTAAAATGACGAAATCAAATAAAATATAATTTAAAAATTAATTACTTACTTGTTTTTGTAAGCTTCTTTTGCGGAGCTTTTTTGTCCTACATTCACTATAAACATGTGAACAATACTGAGAACAGTGATATTTGTAACACACCGTCTGCAAAAAATGCAACCCGTGTATCACATATGATACCTGGGAACTGAGGAGGATAAACCTAAATAATTTTTATTTTAAAAATATGAATTACAAATGTTCTAAAATTGTTTCCAAGTGACGCACAATTGCCCATCACCTTATGACGCTGCTATATCACCAAACGGCAACCACAAGTGAAATCACATGCAGTTATAACAGTGATTTTAAAATCACGCTTCAGCTCATCTCTAATATAAACAATGCAAGATAATATCATACGGCTATGTTTAAATAACCGCATTTTTTCCAAAATGGTAGCGTGAAAATATCAATCGGTACAATTTGATATTTGATCAATTGACGCTGATTACTTTCTCGTCCTTAACCGAACGCGTCTTGAAAAATGCGATATGTCGGCAACTTTACCAAAAGCATGTTGTAAGCAAAGAATTTTTTCGCAATAAGATATTAGCCATACCAATACAGATTCTAAAAACTGTATTACGTTATTATAAGTTATAAGATTGTATATATTGTCATAAATATTAATATTTCAATCAATCTATGTATATTTAATAATTATTATATTATTATTAATAATAACCATTGTATATTATTAAATATACACATCATTTAGATTGATTTAAAATATGTTCTCTTAGAATTACGGTATAAATGGAACTATTATTGTTCTCTGTTAGCACGTCCAGTAAGTATGTAGGCTTCAGAAATGTCAGAGTAAGGGCAAAGAAAGTTATTTATTGTAAATATCATATTTTAATGTAGAAGATTCAATTGTTAAAATGAAATTGCAATCTTTTGTATTATATTTGACAAAAGTTGCATTTTATTAATAAATAACGATAGTCAATTTATAGATCGTAAGTAAACGTGGGCTGTTAATGTGCCTCTTTAATGATCAACTGCATTTGTGACTGCAAAAAAATTTGGTCTGATGACTGTGATTTTACATATTGTTCTCGATTGATCTTAAGGAATTAAAACGTTATCTAAATTTTATAAAGTTTAATCAGATGTACTTATATTTATGTAAGAAATATTTCGTGACAGTATTTCTTAAGCCTTCATCACTGAAAACGACAGAGTAGTTGTATTAAGTGTCTAATTTGTGGCCATATTATTTTTATAAACAATTGCATTGGTAGAATTCATTGGAATCATTTTTGGCATTAGTAGGAACGCTATTTGGTAAATCTTAATGTAGAAAATAAATATATTTGGTAATCCGGTAAAATTAATCACCCATTGTATGTTTAGTTTTCACTAGACTTACAGATATAGAACTAACACATCAACTTATGTGTATTTAGACAGAAGTTCATGAATTAACCTATTGTTAATTCCTCTATTTGTTTTTTTACGAATAAAAAAGTTACAAGCTAAAAGAAGCCTGAAAATTTGTTCTTTACTTGATGCAGCTTTTCATGTGCTTGTATGCATTAATGTTCAAAACATTTAATTAAATTAAGAGATTTTGTCTGACGAAATAAGGAAGAATTTTGTGACTAAAAGGTTTTAAAAAATTGCCTCACGTTTTGTGCACCACACAAACTAATTTAAAATGTGGTCAAGTCGTAACCTTTACATTTTTAAAATTATTAATAAAATGGACTTACTTTGTACAAACATCCCTTGAAAACTGTGTATTATATGTATGTATATTTTGCAAACGAATTGTTTCACCAGTGACTCCAAGTAATTTAAATTCGATTTAGCGGTGTGGTGTTGTGCTAAAGGTGTAATTCAGTTTTAAGTCGTTTTGTTTTACTTTATACTATTAAGTTGTTTTAAAAATACCAGCATGTAATAATAGCTTTATTCGCGGAAGCGATTCAGGACTGGTTCCAGACTGATCGCATGTGCCCAGAGGCACATTAAAGAAATAACTAGTTGTCCTGACAAGCGCAGAACAAGCAAAACATGGGATGTTGTGCCAAAACATTGGCACCGACACATTTTTTTATTTCTTACCATAGACGGGATACTTAGGGGCTTTTGCGGTGGAAAGCGGTACCTCAGTGAATGCTCAGGAGTTGGCGCAATGATGCCAAAATGGCTTGGTGCGCCAACACAAGGCACTGGCGCAGTAAGCTCATATGCGATGTGTAGTAGGGGGATTACAGATGACTTTGTGATGTACACATCACGCATGTGTAGTGTTGTCGTGAGGTGATGGGCTTTGCGTCATATTAAGCGGTGCAGTACGTTCAATATTTTTTGTTTGGTTTTACTGAAGAGACTGACACGCGCCGGTTGCGTTGTTTTAATGAATAGAATAAAAGTCGTAGTAAATTTTCTTCTTGTAAAGCCCAGTTGTCTCACAAGATCCGAACATTTGGATGATTTAACAGGTGTCGGAAAACGTTGAAATAACATAACTTTCGATTATTTCGTGTTGAAAAAAAAGCCATAACATGTGTAGCCAACATTTTTAGTGCTTCAATTTGTGCCAACACTGCATTCTGTTTAGAATTCGAAATTCGTATATTAACAGATCCGAGATAAGTAAGAATTTATCAGTAGATAAGTATCTTGAGTCGCGTCGTCCTTTTCCTCATTCAAATTTATGGCTCGATGTTTCTATTTAGCTTGAGAGTTGCTCTGAAAACCGCCACTTTTTCACGGAAAGCATGATCATAAGTAAACACTGCAAATCCGTTTTACTAAAATACTGTTGGTACTACTAAAAGCTGGTGTCTTACAGTGGACTCGGCGTTCGCGGTTAGAAATGTTCTGAACTGAGCCTGCACCCCGTTTAGAGCAAAAATAGATTCGGAATCGCTTCCACGAAAAAAGCTAATGTTCGTGTTTATTATAAAAACTGGCTGAATGATTTTTTTAAATGTTTCACTAGATTTATTTCAGACTTTGCATTAAATACTTTGTTGTATACACCACCCTCACAGCAATCTGAATCTTTACAGTCCTCACATATCAAAAGCGGATATTTTCAATTCAGTCCGTTATAGAATAAACACTTTTTATTGCTTTAGTATTTAGTTTTAAGTTCAAATTTATCTTTATAAGCGGTTTATAAATAATTGTTTCAACAGTAAGTACAAACCTTATTCACGCCTAAACAATTTTCAATGTTTATGCAAACAGATCTAGTACATCGATAAAAGTACCTACATGCAGAAAACGAATGAGAAAATCGTCAACTGGATCAAGTCCATCTATTAATATATGTATTATCTTGAAAAATCAATAGATTGATTGATTAATTTTGCTAATAAACATAAAAAGAAACTAATTACATTTGATTACTCACAGCCTTTACCCGTTAATTTGGATTATTACCAACCCAGTTACTTTTTACCTAATGGATTTTGTGAAATGTGTGAGAAGTCAGTTTCTAGCCGAAATTCAAAAATATGTCTCCGAGGGTACACGAATCGATAAGTTTTTGCGTAATTTCTACTGTAAAAGCGAATAGTTCATTAAAAATGTGCCCGTTAGATTGCAAATTATAAGCAGAAATCAAGATAAAGCAGAAAAATATTAATGTAAACAATTTATTAAGTTTTTTTTACAAACCTAAACAATATGTCGTTCATAAACGACTCCATTTTCGTTTTTCAACTCGTATTTCCTTTATTTTCTTAGAACATTTCAAGCGCGATGTCTCTCAGCAGTAGCATTGCAAAAATCAGAATAATTAATTTACCAACAAGTTAGACCGGTTCCGATGTTGTACCCTGAACAAACTGGACAACAAATTATTCAATATTATAAACATAGTTTGTCTTGTATAGCATTTAATGCAGACTGAATTACTTGTCAAACATTTCTAATTCTGGAAAAAACAACAAAACAATTGGAAATATGTATAAAGGGAAGGAAGCTTAGGAAAATCTAAGCTGAGGCGAGCAAAAAGTAATTTTTTCATATATTTAATCTTGTTTGTTAGCCTGTGATAGACTAACAAACAACATATATCGGAGCTTAACGGGGCGCATTGGTTGATGTGATTATTATTATTATTATTGGAATCAGGGTCGTCTGAGGCAAAGATAAAGGCAAATCGTACACTCAAAAACATCATAAAATGTCAAGTTGCACAAAGCCTTTAGACGATGTGGTTCATCAGCAAAACTTAATAGAACCCCGTTTTTAGTCAAAGCAAATTGTGTTGGAGGACAAATTTACTTTGCAAATTACTTACACGCGAACGGTTACACTAACATGAAACTTAAGTTTAATCAAATGCGTTTTTAAACTTTAGAACGTAATGTTACTATAAACAAAAGTTTATATTATCATCCACACACCGATGACAATACGAAAAAGTAACTAATAATTAGATCACCATTTTAATTGGCAAGTGGGATACATAGATACATTTTTGGTAATGCCTCTTAATGTAAAAGAACTTACTCAAGGGTTTCCAGCTACAGGATATATTTAGAATCATAGCATCATATCACATTTGCTGTTCATTAAAATAGAAGTCACTTCACATAATACCGGTCAAAATTTTAACTCTTCTTCGTCGTTCCCTTTTCAGAGGCGAGGTAATGTAGCTTCTTGTTGAATCGGACATTAGATCTTTTGCAATCGATTGCATTAACTCGCTACTTTGACTATTTATATTTACAGGTCCAGGCTTGTTCTGAGTGTGAACTTTGTCTTTTTCGTCCGCTTGACGTGCATTTTTCGGTTTAATTGGAGTGGACGTATTCAGATTTTTCCTTAGCATATTAGAGAAGTCTAGAGGGCTCGTAGAGTCTTTGGGTTCTAAGGCCTCTGAATTCCCCAAAGTGCTCTTTTCACTTTTATTGTTGGCATTTTCGTTTTCAAACGTAGGTAAACTCTTATCTGCTAAATACGCAGTCATATTATCAAATATAACGCGTTCAACAGCGCCTAGCATAGATATGTCCTTCGAATCCAGGTTTATTTGATTGACTTCAGGGAAATTGGTTGTCTCACGAATACATGTATTGTTTTTAATGATTGAAGGATCATTAGTGTAAACGTGCGAAGCCGCTTTAACAGATATAACTTGTACCGAATGTGAAGTGTTTACCAAGGCTTCTCGAACATCGTTGCTCTTGTTCACATACTGCTTCAACATTTCTTCCATATGGGGCAAAGGAGATTGATTTGCCTTTACGAATTGAGCATTTTGAGATTTACTGGGCGATTCTTCTGGTACTTTAATTTCATTGCTGTCATTAACTTTCTTCTTTCTAAAAACTTTGGAAAAACTAGCTTCACCTATTTTCACCGGGGTTATTCTTCTAGGGGTAATTGCTTTAAATACTCCTTCAAGTGTCTCATTTAATGGATCGTTCATTTGACCAACTGCAGGGACTTGTTTAGTGTTAATTGCACGTTTTTCACTAGCTATTTCTTTTTTCGTGCAACTTTCATCCGTTTGATTAGTAACTGTTTCTGGTAGGCTGTATGTTGAAACTATCGCCGACGTGCCAGAGATTTCAGTGTCGTCTTTATGCTTGGGTTCCGATTCGACGCGACTATCTTTTTCGCACTGGTTTTCATTTACTTTCACCTCAGTGGCATCTTTATTGGTTAATAGTGTGCCTTTATTAATACTACTCTTCTTTTGTATGGAGATTGGAGTATTCTTGCTTCCTTTCTGTTTTTTCGGTCTCTTCTTCAAAGATTCTTTTTCACTATTTGATTCCGTGATTTTCTCATCTTCAGTATCGCTGTCAATCACCCGAGCTCTTTTTAAAGCCTTTTTCTTGATTTTCTGATCGGAATCGTTTGAATCATCTAACTTCTTGCCTTTTTTAGAAGGACTATTAAAAGGCATTTTGATTTTTATGCAATTTTCAGCACATTTTGATTTTCTGCTCGTTTTAGTTTCAGGCAGTTCCTTGGTTTTTTCGTCTCGTTTTTGAGCCTTAAGATTTCGATCTTTCTTCTCTAAGGATTTATCAAGATTCTTGCATACTTCAAGTTCTATTTGTTCTTGCTTTTCAATATGCTCGGCTAGTTTCTTACGAAAATCTAGATCAGGAGGATTAGGTATACTGAAAATAAATGAACTCATGTGATTATGTAAATTAACGAAATCAACACTTACTAATTTGGATTATTGCAAAACACAGAATAAGAGCTTTCTTTTAAGTTGCTTGGTATTTGTTTCTTCAATATACTACACAGTATTTCATCGGCTGTTTTGTTCTTCGAAGATCTTATTTTCGGTTGAGTTTTGGCTTGCGGATTTTCTTGTGCGGTTGCGCTATCAATTAATGCGATTGCTGTTAGGTTTTTCTTTACTGTGTCTACCCCTTTTCGAATAGGATCTGATCTAAAGCAACAGTATGTAAATAGTATAATTAAAAACACTAAAAATATATTGTCGATACGGTCAAATTGCAGTCAAATTGGATAATTTTTAAAGACGGTCGACATTTCACATCTTAATGTCTATTCGCGAGCACTATTTGCAAAGAAACTCTAGTCTTACGGAGGAGGAATAGTCGGAAGAGCCAGAAAATATGAATCGCAATCTCTAAACTTGGGCTAGACCAGGTGAATTTGCTTCTCACCGATTTTATGCAATCACCAATACATAAATTTCAGTGCACAAAATACTAAATATTTGAAATTAAGAAAAATTACTACGGATGCACTCGTCATCACTTCGACTCATAATTATTTAATGAATATTTTTTTAGCGGATTTTCTTTACCAAGTTATCGTCACTAAAATAACTAAACTTACTCTGATTTGGATTCACTCCCAAAAAGTCGTAACATCTGCTCTTGTACTCGGGTTCTATGTGGTAGATTAGGCGGAGTGGAGCTTCTCCTTGCTACATCTAATTTTCCATTAGAATCATTACTAAGTTTTGAAGATTGGTCTGTCGCATTGTCAATGCCAAATGAGCAGAACGTTTTAGATGGGCTTTCGGCCACTTTCGTCTCGTTTATTTCAACATTTTCAATACACACATCATCTTCTAGACACCTTTGCAACTGTTCGGTATCCAATTTATTAGACTCATCATTCTTCAAGCTGCAGTAAAAAAAATGGACGCTATTGAGGCTGCCAGGAAGTTGAGTTCGTTCCCGAGTAAGTTGTGCAATCGACAACATTCAGAATATGTGAGCAAATGTGTAAATGTATAAATGCCTTACCGGTCGAGGCACAACGATTCTTCTACAACAAAGCCATTATTTTTAATTGCTTCCTGGATGCTTTCAATACACTCTTGCTGAACATTTGAGGTGTCACATTTCTCAAAATGCGAAATTGATGGGTCGATTGGAGTTGCTTCAAAATCTTGAAGGGATGCCACTTTTTCCGGCATAATCTTAAATACGTTTGCACTGCAATAAAAACTTAATGGTCAGTTCACGTTCCAATTATGGAAATATTAAACACCATATGTAGTGAGATAATTAAAGGTACATAAAGGGTTACAAAAATTTAACGGAGAAACACTGAGTACATGAGAAAACGATTCTAGAATTAATCTCTACATATAAATATGGTCATTGAAGTAAGTGTAACAAATTGATCCGATCCCTTTTAAACACATGATTAATTGCATCTGAATTCAACTTACTGTCGGAAATAAATAAAACTGCTATTTGATCAATATTTTCCCATAAATTGCAGATAAATAAGTGTTAGGCACTATAGAACGAAATCGATTAACTTAAAAATATTTCGAATTTATTGTAAAGGGTAACAAAATGTATATGTTGAATTTTAAACGACGTGATATTATTGATGTCGACTTTAACGTAGAATATGTAAAAAGAGACGCGTTATTATGACAAAGCATAGTTTTTGACTAATGGGAGACTCGAGTGTCTGAAAAAAAAGGGAAAATAACAACAAGTAACAATTTACTGATATTGAACCGAGATGCAATAGGTGACATATTTTTGGGAAAAGCAATATGAATTAAAGTATTATCAGACTGTGAAAGTTTTCACGGCCGGTCAAAACACATTTAGAAATGTTTTTCGCTTAGTTTTAAAGCCCGAAAAACATTTCTAAATGTAATTAAAATATTATTCCTATCACTAATATAAAAAAACACCTAAAGTAGTCTAGGTGATTATATGAACAAAAAACATACCTGCCAGGTCTAACTATAGACACATCCAGAATATTAATTTTATTCAAGTGGTTGCGTGCTACTGCAACATCTCGTAAACCTTTCGTTTCCGAGAAACTTATTTCATCGTCCGACAAACTAAAATCGTGAATAAAGCTATCCAGGTCTTTGCTTTCTTCCTGAATGTTTTTGGGTGAAACAGAAGTTTTCTCTTCGCAGTTCATTGTGGCGTCTGCAACTGGGGAACCATCTCTAAAACTTGTATTATTACGTTTCACAATTTCTTCTGCGGAACCTTGAGGGGTGTTAATGGGCTTTTCGTCGCTATCTGAAGTTTTCAATGCATTTCCGTCTTCGGGATCAAATTGGTCATTTTCATTTGTGCACGATTCGCCGCCTTTGCTTTGACTAACGATACTTTTAATGTTGTTATCGGTGTGCAGTTCATCAATAGCAAGGCATATAATTGTTTCTGCAGAATCATTAGGGCTCTGTTCGTTTTCAGTGTTATTGATGTTGTCCTGATCTATTGGTATGTTACTATTTTGTGGAAGAACATCTAAAACAGGTTCAGGATCTGAAACAGGATTAACATAAATGCCCATGAGTTAATTATGCTGACTCTCAATGCTTACCTTGCCTCAGTGCGACCTCAGCTTTAACATTAACTCTCTTTTTATAAGTATTTAAATCAATTTTCTTCTTGTCCTCACTTTTCACAATTATGTCATCAGAACAATTAGTTTCAGCATTTGATGACGCTGAGGGATTTTCATTGTGTCCAGTTTTTACCGCCCTAATATTTTCCTGTTGGTTATCAGCAGATGTTACTTGTTGATTTTTTTCAATGAGTTCTTTTGTGTTCAGTTTTCCATCGCGATTTAACTTAAAGGTGATGTGTTCTTTACTAATCTCTTCAAGTTTTATAAATAAACTCTTATACGAATTTGCAGGCTTCACTTTCGAGCAACTTTTACTTTTTTCGTCCAGATTTTCATCTGACAGAATTGCATAAAGTTCCTTAGATGTTTCAATGCCCGGTTTACTTTTACTGCTTCGTTTGAGAGAACTTTTAGATTTCTTTAAATCTAGACTAGAGACTTGCCTATGTTTTCTATGTCTGCCGACATCATTCACATGACCTTTTAAAACCAGTTGTTCTGTTTGATCATTTTTTTCTTCAAAATCCTGCAATTTTCGGTCTGCAACATGTTCGTTTTTCAATACATGTTCTGATTCTGCAGAGTTGTCGGTCTTTGGATTAAACTCTGTAGCTTGTTTTTTCATGGTTGGGGAAAAAGCTTGATGTTTTCTGGTTTTAGAACTGCTTTCATCCTCAGCTGAGATCTCTTTCTTTTTATTGGCGTTATTATTTTTTGAGAGTTTTGAAACTTCTGCATCATCAGGTTCCGTGCAATTAGGGTGAGGACGTTTTCGTTGAATATCTTCCAATTCTTTCTGTTTTCTTTTAACTGCTCTGAAAAGTCAATATATTTTTAGAATTAATTTATCGACACATATTTCGAATAGAAACCCGCATTTCTTTAGTTTTAATATAGTTAAAATTTGTAATTTCGCTGGATTTCCCACTTCCTGTGGTTTGGTTATACGTTTAAATAAAAACAAGCAATTTGCACTTTCAAATATTATTAGTGTGCAACAATAACAAAACCGAAATAAATCAATAATCAATAGTGATAAACACGGCTAATTGTATCGAGAACGAACTAATATTAAGGCGTGAAATGCAATCTCTTTTCTTAAATCGTGGGTTGCACTACTGACGCATCCCAATTGGTTTTATTTAATAGAACTGAACAGCTAAGAGATAAAAATATGACTTACTTCTCAAGTTCTTCGTCGTCCATAAGTTCGACATCAACTCCAAACTTACCGTAGGCAATAGAACTGAAAATATGTATTATTTGAGTTACATAGTAGCGTCTATAAATACTACCATTAAATAACGTTAAAACAAGAGCAGATCACATTACACGGTAAAGATTCCAATTTTTTTCCTTCTCGATAATAGTTAATTCTTTGAAGAAATATATAGCTTGTAAATAATCACAGAATGATCTGCTTTCTACAGTTCATTAGTCGATTATTACATAAAATGACTTTTTTTAATACACTGAGAATGCAAAATTTTGATCAAGTGATTCACCTACCTCGCTTTCGAATGCTGATTATGATAAACAACAGTGTCATCACTAGATGGTGATAAATGTAGGCGAAAATCATCCCAGTCGCTAAAATCCGTTTCGTAGTCTTTTCGCATAGTTTCCTTTAAATCAAACCTTTTCTCTTGAGAACGTTTTAATGCATCGTCTTCCTGATTTGATCTCGAACTTTTCTGCATATCATTTTGATGGACACTCTGAGTTTCGATTGGATTACGTTCAATACTTCTCTTCCGCCAATCTTTGTAAGTTTCAACATTTTCCCGTCCAGCTTCTCTTTTTGAACTTTGCTCGGATGAAGATGATCTGCTAAATCTCTTTCTTGATTGAACACTACTTTTATAATCTATCCTACGCCTGTCTCGTAAACAAAGTGCTCCCTTAGAATTAAGCCTGGATCTCAAATTGAAATCTCTTCTGTCTGTGTATCGGAACTTTGATCTACCTCTCATGAATCTTGTCACATCAAAACTGTATTTCCTATCAGGTTTTGATGATCTCTCATATTTTTCCAGTGAATGTGATCTTTCGGGGCTGCATCTTGGAAACGCATTACTTTCATAGCGAGATTTCCTTCCATCTTTACTTCTCCCGTCAGTGTATATTAAATGTTTGTTTTTATAATTATTATCTGAATTTTTTCTAACATCTTTCGAAGGATTTTCCTTGTAGTTATTTGATCTAGATGATTGCCGTTGTGAGGTAAATCGATCGAATCTTTCGCGTGACTGAGTCCTTCTGGGACTTGGTTCTGAAGAATCTCTAGGTGGACTTCCTGATGGGGTCCGCGGTGGTCTTGGCACATGTTCAGAGTTACGACGAGATCTTCGTATTGGTTCTTTGATGATTCGTGCTGTCCGTGTGGTGGTGGCAAGTTTTCCGCTGACATCAGAGTCAGTTTTACAGAGCACTGATTTCTCGCTGCTTAAAATGCTGGTTTTTTGGAATTGATTTTCATCTATCCCCCTATTACATTCCTTTTCCATATTTCGGTCAGTTTCATCTGTTTCACGGATTTTATTTCTCGGGATTTTATAATCAGATTTCAAATGGTGCGATACTTCTTTTTTCAGATCTTTTTCAGGCACTACTTGGTGGTTGCTCGGTTCTGTTTGGTGAGATTTCTCGTCACTGCTAGTATTTTTTGCTATTTCCGATTTAATTTTAGTGAATTTTTCAGATTTCACCACTGGTGTTTCAGGACTGTGAGTATCGATTACCATAATGTTTGCATCTTGATCTATTAATCGATCTTTGTTCTCATTTGAACTACTTTTTGTTACTGAGCTAGAGCGTGGGTCGCTTTGTGAACTCTCGATTTTCCTATTTGGTACATCTGTCGGCCTGGGGACGTGAGCTGAACTAACAGCAGAATTTGAATTTTTGTTTACTACTTCTTTCGAATACTCATTTAAGGAAGCATTTTCCTCTGATTTTGATACACGTTTCGGTAGTTTGTCATTTTGTGTTGTCAAACCATCTTCTTTCCTCTTGGTATAATTTGCGTTGCACTTGGCATTGTAAATCTCTTTTTGCAATTGGCTCTTGTCTGGTACTGAAATTTGAGGATGAATGTTTTACAATCAAGTAAATATTTTACTATCATGACTAATGTTATTTACAAAGCTTAGCTAAATAGATTTACCTGTTCTTTCAACACACGTATTTCTTCAGAATATTGGACAGTAAGTTCTTACAGAGCAAAGTAAATTTTTATCAGCTCTATCTAAAGCAATATTTACATGATAGAATGAAGAATAAATAAAATCATTGATTTATGGTCAAAGCCTAGATCAAGTTAGTCAAATTCTATCGGCCAATATTGATGCCTGTTTAATTAACAATAACAAGTATGTATGTGTTCACATTGCCGACCTTCTGAAACTGTTCACTTCTGAGAAAATAAGAAACTAAGCAAACTTTCTTTACTACTTACTTCCTTTATTTATACTCGTGGTCAAAAAGTATAAAAATATGTGCGTTTAGTTAAACAAAATTTCTATCTTCTTAATATTTATTAAAGATCCATAGATAACAAATAAAATAGTAAAATATGAAAATAAAATTAAAATAAACTCATACAGTCTTTCAAAATTGGTCTCATTTTTTTGCAGGTTTATGGCGGAACGTCCAAAGAGAATAGAAAAAATATCAAAAACACGAATTCACATAAAAACTGAGATGTTTGAGAAAATCCAAATCACAAATTAGCAAACCACAAACTAGGTAATAGCGAAAACAAATAAAAGCAACGGGTGACACCAAAACGCATATAAAGGAAACATAAAAAGGGGAGACCATTTTGGTAAATTCGATTGGAACTATTGGTAAATTCGCCAATTTTATCTATTGCGAGAAGTTCAATGTGAAAACAATTAATAACGCTTATTACAATCCAACTACTTATTACATAGGTCCTGCTCAGGTTTATCTATTACTTATAATCTTCCCTCTGACTTGAATGATATTCTCAAGAACTAAACTGAATTGTTTTTCATTATTTTTCCCGTTCAAGTTTTAATATCCCAATATCCCAAATCCAAAATTGGTATCATTTCTTAATACCAATTTTGGAACCACTTTTACAAGCATTTACAAGCAGTATTTATCAACTGAAAAGGTCAATCTGCAAATAACTTCCTGAAATTCTCACTTTGCTATTTGAAATCTAAATGCAGCCAAAAATGCGAAAAGAAACGATGCCGAAAAAAAAATGTATGTGAAAGAATTGCTAAAAAAAGAGTTTTTCTACCAGTTTATCTACGTAATTCTACTATAAATAGTTAGTGTTTAAAACAATTACCATCTTCTAGTAGGCTTCTATTGTCATTTCTTCTCCTGAATACAAGGCTATCCAGCTTCTGTGTCAGCTCTAATATTCTCCTATCTTTTCGATCCATTTCAGCCTTAGCTGTACGGTATAGCTGGGAAACACTTACTTCCAACAACTCTTTTTCAGTTTTAACTTGTTTTAGTTGGTCTTTTAACAAGGAGCGCTCCTTTAAAAGTTCGGCTAGCTCCGGTTGTTCTGCTCCTTCATCATTCTGACAACAAAACGTAGGTTTTCACTTATGAAGTTATAAAAAAGTGATCAAAAACTGTACTAAATTTTCTTAAAACAATTTTTCCTACAGACTGTCCCTACCACTTAGGATAGTTGGCCCAATATTTAGTAGGACAGACGGACCAGCTACTTTTTCGGGCTTTTCTAATTTCAGTATTTTAATCAAGATGCCTGCTGTATACATTTGGAAAAATATTAAAGGAAGAGACCAGTGGACTTAGGAAAACCTGAAAAATGCTGGTTTAGCAACAGACAATAACGAAGTGGAAATTCCAAGTCCACTCTCAAAAGACCCTGGATCCTTACTCGGCGAATAAAATGAAATCAAACTAGAATAGTGTAGGTGGTATATTATAGTGTTAACAATTTTTTTTTATATTTAAAAAGAAGTTTTATGTATTTTCTTAGCAATAAATATACATACTTTATTACTCAAAATAACGATTTTTTAGATTCATTTAATTCTATTTTGCAGGAAATAATCATAAACCATAGTGGACCATCTATCCTACCACTTCTGGTAAATACTATTTAAATAAATTTGGCATTTGGCCACATCTCCGCCGATTTAAGAAAGAAATACTCAGGCGATCTGAAAGCACCCTCACGCAATCTGAAAATCCAGAAGCCTTCATTGAGACCCCGTTATATCCAGAAAAAAATCACTGTTTTTCAATATGTTTCAAATTCTATATCTCTAAAAAACTCTCTTTATATGGGATACCTATTCCAATAAAAAAAATGAGCAATCTTTATGAAAAACTTCCGGTATATTGGTGCATTTGAAAGGGAACAAATTGCCACACGTTGATACAGGCTGTTCCATTAAAAAAAACACAAGTTTGATATACGAAGGATTTTTGGAGACATTCTAAAATTAATTTTAAAATTTTGAAACTTCCACTATTGAAGTCAATATCGCATAAGAAAGTAATTTCAAAATTACACCCCAAGTGGCCATAATCTTCCATTCCGTTTAGGTTTCAGGTTTCACCACCCTGTATGTAGATCACTGAGATGTCTAATAAAAAGGTACGGTTTGCTTCTCGATTAAAACGTGAATAACTGATTGAAAACTAAATTATATCTAAATCATAAAGCAGACAAATATTAAGCCTATTAATTAGATTTTGACTTAAACAACAAACTAATCAAAAACAGTATATGAATTTCAAATTAATTCGATTTCATACCTTGGAACTATTCAATATATGATTGCACAAATACACAATTAATAGGCTTGATACTCCTGTAAGAGAACATAATAAACAAATACAAACAATAAGTATTACAAAGTAGAAATAAGTTCAGTAAATAATTAAGTATAAACAACTGGATTATTTTTCGTGGTTTTACAGAACAAATGCTTCATGGGTAATGAGATTGGAGTGTCAATGAAAAAATAGGAATACGAATACTATCAACAATTTCTTCTAAAGACCAGAAAAACTGACTCATTTAAACATTACATTGAAGCTATAACTATTGCATTGAACGTTGAGCATATTTTGAAATTATTGTGAACTTAAGTGTGAAGAAGAATTGCCAAAGGAAAGTATATGTACTGTACAAATAGTTATTCAATAGAGATGCGGAGAACTTCAAAAGTCTCAAATAGTTCAAAAGGGATTGTCTGTAGGGAGGCAATTCCTCTTGAAAAGCTGCTACTTTAATTTCGTCAAAAAGATTTTTTAGATTTTTGTTTCCTGTATTTTGAAAACCACCTTTTTTGCATCAGACAATTAAAATACAACTTTATGTCTTTACCCCCACGAATGGGGCGTGGAATTGGACGATTAACTTGAAAAGATAATTTTCTGTAGGCTTCCTAACATGAATAGGGTAAACACGCTGCAAATTTAAGCCTTAAGTACCCTCCAAGTAAATAGCAAGAACGGTTTGGCAGTCGAATTTTCAGCAACCAGTTAGGTAATTAATGTAAGTAACAACTGGTAACATTCAATAAACAGCCCCGAAAGGACCGATTTAAGCATTGGTAGCTCTTAGCTTACCTTGGTCTCAGAAGGAGCATTACTGAAGGTATTTGCTGTAGACAAGCCAAAAATATCTGTATCATCTACATCTTCATAGATGTAGGCCATCAGGTTGGCTTCAGAAATTGGACTGTTTGGGTTACTCATTTTACTGTAGAAGTAAAATATTCCATTTACCAATACTATTCACATGTAAACGAAAATCACATAACCTAACTAAATTTAGGTGCCAAAAACTTTTATCTTGTTTGCTACTAGCGCCACTAGCAGGAAACAACTCAAACGTCAAAAAGTCAGCCACACACAGTGGCGTCTCAATCTAAAAGTAATGCTGGATTATAGTGTTCCTTTAATCTATATTCCTGTTTATTTCAATGAAATTTAGCAAATGAAATGCTACCTCGACGTATTCATAGCTTACCTAAAAACGGGAATATTCATAAAACAAATAAACTTGATATCATGAAAAATAAACGATTTAAATCTGCCAGAACAAGGTCTTATTAGTAAATAGACATTTAAAAAGAATAGTTAATAAACAGTTTTAAAATAGTTTTAAAAGACAATTTACTTGGCATACCTGAAAAAAAAGTACCTTGGGAAAATAAGTACATCGAGCATATAATAAAATTTGAATAGTTCAAAGCTGTAAAACAAAACATTATAAGAAATAAATTAAAATATTTTTAAAATGAACTTAGCTTTCGTTAAAAAGAGGACATTACCAAAAAACCGCTATGTATAATCCACACAAATTCTGCAATACCGCACCATAAATTTACCAAACTCCGCAAAAGACGTTGCAAATATCCGCATAGCTGTACAGCATATGATAAGCAAAGCAAAGCAAAACCAAGACCAAGACTTGCTGGTTATTTTATTCAAAAATTGGTCTTGGACTTGCAGCAAGAGTCTTGCAAATATTGCAAGTCTTGCTTTTAAATATGTTTATAATTTTTTTTAAATCAGTAATAGTAATAAAACAGATGGTAATAACGAGTACAGAATAATAATTATGATATATCAACTAATCTAAGGTTGTTTGATATTTTATTTCCGTACGACTTTCTTATTAATGGTAAAAGTTTTCGAAAATACAACAATTTTAATTATTTTGGAATTAAAAATTATGGACGTCATCAGTTTCATTCTTTTATAAGCTTCCGAAGACAGTCCCAATTCGAATATATTTCCATGTAGTATTATTTACATATTCTAGCAAAATTACAATTGTAATCAATATCCTTAAGGATATCCTTAAGGATATTGATTTACTACTTGAAGTTTCACTGTTTGAATAGCGATTGAAATAAAAAATTATTATTTTTTTCACTAAAATAAACGATATAATTTTAAAGGAATATTAAAACAAATCTTCTGTTTTTGTTTTTGTTTTGTTCTGGTCTCAAATTATATCGTTTATTTTAGTAATAAAATAATTAAGTTTACCTTTGTTGCGTTTCCATATTCAAATGTCGTTATGTCCAAAACTACTGAATAGTCATATAGTTTGTTATACCAAAAATACTTCTAATTCAATGCAGAAGATGATTCTGGATTAAAAAGTAGATATATAAAAAATAAACCTGAACTTACTACTCAAAATAAACTCAAAATAACCTACTCAAAATAAACCATAACTTTATTTTGAGCTACCCTGTATGCTTCAAAGTAACAGAAACAAATAGTTTGGCGGTAAGCACCATACTTTTATATGAACGTTTTTTTTCTGTCTCGAGACTTCGCAGATTCACCCTGTAGAATGTGCATAAAAATTGATATTTTTTAAATAACATACTACAATTCCAAAGTAAAAGTTACATCTGAAAGAGGTATGTTAAGTCCTGTTCTATTTATGATCCACTTGTTCAAATATTTGGATTCTAATTTGATGTTTTCTCACTTAAAGTCAATCATTAGTATGTTAAGGGCTTAAACTGTTAAAGCTTCTTTTCGTATTTAGGACCTATGTGGACAGATTTAAGGCGGTTCAATATCGAATTATCTTTTGTAAAAGTTTGGCGAGACTGGCAAAAATCTTGCTCTTGCAAACCAAGGGCAGTATTGGTCTTGCTTTTCTGCAAGGCCAACACAAAAACTGCAAGGTCAAGAACAGTCCCGTTCACTGTGTATATACGAGCAGCTTAAATGTTACAAAATAGAAACTACAAGCCTGTTTGCCATCTACTACTACAAAATAAATTGTCGTCCGGATCCAGACCGCTAAAATACCCTGAAAGCCCGTTTTTTTTTCACGCCATTTAGTGGAAATTTAGAAGAACAATCGTGAGCCTGATTAAAATCTTGGTTTGGACCACGTACAGAATGAAGAGCACTAGACGCCGAAGAATTCCCTTGCGCAAATTGTTTGGTTTGGTTGAGTGGTAAATTTGTAAAAATAGTGTAAATATCCATCTAGGTGATATATCATTGATGATCTGAGATAGGTCTAGACCATCACAAAGCAATAAACAAGTTTCACCTACCTTTGGGCAATTTAGTCTGGATTCTGGGCTATTTGTAGCTTTGAAATCTACAAGAAGTTTAATTTACAACAGAAAATCACTAATAATTGCATTTTATAATTATGACAATACTAATACTAATATACAATTTATTTTGAAGACGGCCCTTATTTTAAATTTAAATTTAAAATATTCAAATATAATTAATCAAGTGTGAAAAACATGACTAGTTAAAGTTCAGAAAGTTAGTTAAATCTTTATTGAGAATACAAGAGGCGAACGAAAAAAAACAGTAATACATAACAATGACAAAAGTGTAGTTCATAGCAGTACGACACTAATTTAACATTTATATTGTGGGAATTCATTTGCAAACAGTCTACTGTGGGAGACCTAAATCGTTAACGTATTTTAATATGTTGATTATACTAAACTTTATAACTTTAATTTACTTGTGTAATTTCTCTAATTAATTGTACAGAAATAAAATTAAAAATTTTGCAAACCCAATCCAGAATACAGAAGTTCTCTAGTTGTTCCTCGTCGAATAAATATTACATACAAAAATATTGTAAAATAAAAGTCAACAATATGGGACTAAAAGCACATGCTACATGACAACCAGGAGCAAAGTAATGGAAAACTTACCGGAAGCTGCATCTTGCAACCTGAAAAGAAAGAAAAACATTCTTTAGAATAACAAAACCTTAGACCAAATCTCAATTATTGGAAATCAATCAGAAATGTATGAAAGTGGAATTCAGTTGCTTTTTGAAAAACTAAACTTAGTTGAAGCCAAAGGTTCAAGCTAAGGGATTTATAGATTGATAGATATTCTTCTTACCAGTTTTCGGCAAGCTAGTCGTCATCGCCCATTTTTAGCCATTAATCCTCAAGAGCTGGCACTACACTTTAACACACATTCGAAACTTTAATACTGCTGTGAATAGCAGATCTACCGCAATTCGTTACAATCCCTCCGTATATTCTTCACAAAGACTCGACTTTCAACACCGCTCGTAGCCCAGAAAAATGTAAGTATTTAGTAAGCTTTTTGAGAAAAACTGATGCGATATTGAAGTTTTTATCACATTCCTAGCACACCGACGTACTGGAGAAGCATTATGATGCTTGTAAATGTAATCGTTTGCCCGATCGTCCCTTCGATGAGTCATTGCTTTCCTTTGTTGTTCGATTTCAGTTTTTTTGCAATTTTGTAGAAAGTTCCAGTTCATTCCACAATATTTTCAAAGGCACATTTCATGTTCAAACTCCTTGAAACAAAACCCGTTGTTAACCAAGGATAAACATACCTATCCGATCATGATGCGCATTAAGCTTTTTTATGCTAAATTAAATGCTTGCCCTCCGATCAGCTTCTGGTTCGATTTTTACGAAACTTTCAGCCTTTCAACTTGATATGTTGTATATCTACATTCAACATTATTTTGACGCCAACTATCAAATCAGCCTTTCACTCTGGTTTCTTGACACTTTGTCATTTGCCTCGGTATAAGTTCTTCTTAACACCCTCATTTATCATTCGGAGATTTGGAACTTTGGCAAATTGACACAATAAAAAATTGTAACCCCTAATAACCCATTATTAGAGCCATTTAAAAACTGCAATTAACATCCCAAGTAACAAGAAAAATCATGTCTCAAATGCCACTAGTCCGCCTCAAAGAGACGAAAAAAGCAAGTGCTATCTATGTCTTAGTGATGAAATTGTTAAATAAACCTGATATGTACTTACCAAGACCTTATGATAGTCACTATTGCCACAGGGCGCAAAGGCGAGAGTCACAAATCTCCTGAGGAAATAGTGCTAATGAGAACCGAGTGTTATTGGCACTTTACCCATTACTGATCGAAGCAAGTATCTTAATTCGGTTGAATGATTTGATTTGACAGATAAAACTAAACTTTGTATTTTTAAATTTGGCATTTTGTTGGCGTCGCTGTCATGCGTATTCAACTTGACGTTCACAGTGGAAAGAAAATATGTATTGATCTACAGGGTGTCCCGGAAATTAATGTACAAAATACCCGAAAATAAGACCATCTAGGCAAACTTGCCTACACAGGGTGATTGATATGACTGATATACAGTTAAAAATGGCGTCATTCCTCTGGAGGTGTTGTCTGGCGCTGTTATAGGAGTACAGAAAAAATAGTAAAAGAAATTAATTGTTATTAAAAACTGATTGCAAATGATGATTTGCAAAAAACTATATGAGAAATACGGCAGCAATGTTTTTCAAGGTAATCTGCCTAATCAACATTGCGCAAATAACTGTTGCTTCGTAATTATTTAAGACTCCAGTAACCATGGAATTATACAAACTGACAATAAGATAGACAAGGACAAATGCTAAATTCAACAAGATTTGTTGACGAAATGTCACCCTGTTCTCATAACCTCGAATATTGGTGTTTAAAAATAAACCATACAACACCACACATTTGAATGGTTAACGCCAAACAAGCTAGTACCTGTGTAATCTCCTTATTATCCACTCTTATCAAGCAGCTTCTCGTATTCAGTTAATTAACTCGTGCTCCATTTGTATCTCCTTGTGCTGTGTGTATCGTACAAACGTGGCAGGAATGTAGCCCTTCCTCGGTATTTATTTGGTGCTTGGGAAAGTGTCAGTTATTGTGCTCTGAGTGCCCTTGGAAGGCCCTGATTCGATTATGTCCAATACTGCCTGCCTGTATAACTGTAATACTGTCTGATTGTGCCTGGAATCCGAACATTGATTGTCGTCCACTATCTTCCTGGAACCACTCTCCTTGGCCTTTGTTAGCGTGAGTTCTTTTAGCTTCTGCCATGTTGAGTTGAGTTGAGTAGCATTTCCCCTGAACTAATCGCATATCAGCAAATTCGTGAAAGGAAAATCAAAGTAAGTCACAGTTTGACAAATTATTGTTATGATTGACAAGGGGTATCCACCTATAACTATCTGTTAATGACAAAAAACATCATTGCCGCTATGCCTTTTCATCAAAAAATTCTAGAAGAGAACTTTTTTGATATAAAAAATTTTCTTAATTGGAAGCAAAAAATCATAATTTTTCTTTTTCAATGCTTAAGTATTCCAATATGCTACCAATTAAACATAGAACAATTTTAAAATAATGCTTAATAACAAAGTTGAAATTCGATCTTCAACTGTTAATATCTTCTAGAAATTTTCAATATTTTTCTCGTACTTTTCAAGTGAGCCTCTACCACCCCTTAAAAGGAATTATGCCAATTTTGAATCACCCTGTATATATAATGTTGCTTCATTTTGCTTCTACCGGCCGCCAAAGTTCTCTAATTTTGTAATCATCAATTAAGTACTACATAAATTGGGGCGTTTTGACGTAAGCGTGATCCTTTTTTAATGGGCGAGAGTATTAAACATAACGGTTGCTTTGTTAATAAGTGTTTGTATTTTTGTTATTATCTATACAGATAACTTTTTAAAAATTCTGCTTCTAGCTAATTTTCTACTGAAACTTTTATGCCTCTTGTAAGATTTTCATCAGACTTACAGTTTCTGCGCAAATAATTATTTACGGTATCTTGGAGGCCAATTTATGGGTGCATCGTTGCCCCATCTTTCGAGTCATCCATTAGATATGTTTCATTTATAAATCTCCGAATCTTGAAACTAAAGTGAGGTGGAGTCCCGTCGTGCACAAACCACATTTCGGCACGATGTTGTAAAGAAAAAAATCTTCCAATAAACCAGGTGGTTTGCAAGAAAAGTAAATAGTTCTAAATCTAAATCTCCATTTAGCAATTTGGCATTACAACTGGTCCAATAATAAAATTGTGAATCATACCTGCCCAAACATTAATTTTAAAATCATGCTGGAAATGTTTCTTCCTGTATATGTAATTCCCAATCTAGGAACGTAGCTTTGTCTCACTTAACATGGTCTACAATCCATCTCTACCAATTTTTATTGCTCTGTAAATTCTGTAATTTAAGATATAAATAAATGGGCAAATACAATTTAAAAACACAATATTGTATTTAAAAGAATGTAGTTTGGAATATTATCATAAGAACGCTGACTAATTAATTAATAGCCATAGCTCAAAGTATAAAATAAATGTACCTACCTACAGATTGCCATTGCCACAAATTCAAAATTTAATTAGGTACTTTTTTTAGAAAACTGTATTAATTACCAACGCTTATTAAATGAATTATTGCAATTTCACTTATTATTAAAGAGAAGAAAAGCAAAATTTAACAGCGACATTTTACTGTTTTCAATTGATCGATGAAAATCAAATATTTCTTGTGGGTATAATATTTTATGATTATTATATTGCATTTTCTGCACACCCGGTACAACAAACCAATGAAATTTTGTAGATGGATTTTAGGCCATTTTGAGCGAGAATAGGTCGACATTTTTTTCCTAAAATTTTCGTAAATAGTACTTGTAGTAGAATACAGATAAAAACTGAAAATTGAAAGCACTTGCTTACTAGTTCAATGTGCATTTTGAAAGCCATAAAAAATAAATGTTTGCAATGATGGTGAGTTCAGAGCCCGGGCACACTGTATTTGAACAAAGTTTTATTAGTTATAAACGTTTATGCTTCGCTCCTTTTTCATTATTTCCTTTTTCATATTTACTTGGTTAATCAGAATTCATCCTGATCATCAAAGCGTTATTTTACGAAATACTGAAGGTGTAAATATATACCTTCAATTATTAACTTTTTTGAATTTCTTACTTTTTTAGATTATTTTTTATAAAATTCTTTACAGTCATTATTTGCGATATAATTGTAGGTGAATTTGTCGTACGCCACTGTAATGCGCAAAACACGACGCAGCTGCCAAACTTCCACCGCATACCTTGATTTGTCGTTCGAGTTTCGAGGAAACGTTTGTTCGTGCGGTTACACCTTGTCAAGTTAGGAAATTCACGCGCATTTCCACACGAAAATCGCGGAAAACTTTTACCCAAGTGCATTAAACTTTCTATAAGGCTTCTTCTAGGACTTGTTATCGTTACCGGTGTTGTAAGTGTTGTCTTTACGTGCAATTTAAGCGAGAAAAGGTGTGTTTTGTTGGTAAATAAATGGATTAAGTGCAAAAACAGTTGTTTGGACGCTGGAAAAACAACAGGTAATTAATGCATGTTTGGGTTATATCTGCGACTTTTGCTGTTAAGTGCGAATCATTCCTGTGTGTGTGTTTGACGAGAAAACGGGACTTTTCACTAGTTTTAGAAGTTTGCCTGGCAGAACCTGATTACAGGTAAAAGCCGCGTTTACACCAACGAAAACGTACACGCGGACTTTTAAATGCCCATGCTGGTCAGTTCAGATTTCAGAACCGTCCGATGGTCCCTACTTAATTTTTATTAAGATTTTCTTCACGCATTTCTGGTATACAAGAGTGACACAAAGGAAATTACAAATAGTAGTCGGGTTTTCAAAATAGGTATTTATCCATTGTAGGCGAGGTTTGCTTGACTGGAATTTGTAATGCTGGTATTTCGTCCGTTGCATTTCATTGCTGAACGAACGGAAACTTTGGGGTCTAGTCGATTAATTCGAGAATTTTCATTGTTTTGTAGTCACATTTCGATATACAATTAGCCCAAGTTTAAAACCACAGTATCACACTGATACAGGTGGGTTTCTATTATGTGCAATTTTGATTAATTTGATCGTTTTGTAGTCCTATTCCGATCATATAACTTAATAGCTATTTAAAACTACTTTATATGGCAACTAACTCACTCATATGTTTTTTTGCCCGTCTGTCAATGTGTATTTTGACGAGACTAACGTCTGTATCAAAAATTTACAAAATGATCGAGTGAATCAAATTTCTGCAATAGAGGAGAACTTCAAAAAACCGCAATTTCGCGTTAATATGATTCATTCGGTAATTTTTGTTGTCTAGTGGATACATTTTCTTTCACAATTAGCTCAAAAAAGTCGAAAGCCAATTTTCATATGGATCAACCTAAAACTATCAGTAACATTTTGGGGTTACAGACTAGTCCCGAAAAATATTTGATAGGTATAATTTAAAATAAATAATAATAGTCAGGGATCAGGTGGAAAATGTTGTCCAACTTTAAGATAAAATAAAATTTAGACGCGAAAACACTGAAAATAGTAAAATGGGTAGGGGTTAAGCAGACTTTTTTGCGATTTGTGCCGAAAGACCTCATAGGGGAAAACGTTAAATGCAAAAGATGTAAATAATAAATAAATCTAAACCTCAAATTAAACCGTCAAAATCGCAAAAACGGATTTTTTATACATTTTTTTCTCGCGTATAAATGATTTCATTTACTTACATCAAAATTTGTAAAAGTATGTCTTTTTGGTGTTGATTAACCGTAATTTTTTAGCAGTTCAGGAGACGCAAAACGAAAAAGCTACCCTTATCTTCCATGAACAATTGGCTTGTTCGCTTTTTGTACTTCGAGTGTATATATGGTAATTTAATTGGTTGTAATCCTTGGTTCGTTGCCTGTAATTTTTTCTCAAAAAAATTACGTACATATTTTTTCTTTATTCTTTCTAATATGGATACATAGTAGGCTAATGCCTGCTCATTGTCAACACGTCCTCCCCGGAGGATGAGGTCCAGCATTCTCTCCAGCGCTTTGGTGGTCTTCCCTGCGGTCTCCTTCCCACTGGATTGTTCATTTTTGCGTTTTTAGCGAGTCTGTTGTCCTCCATTCTTTCTACATGTTTGTTCCAGAATCTTCTTCTCCGTCTCACCCATCTTCCTATGTTCTGCATCCCGCATTGCATTCTGATGTCCTCACTTCGTACTCTATCTTCAAGAGTTTTGCCTTGCGTGCTCCCTAAGGTCTTCATTTCAACTGTTTTCATCATTTGTAAAGTTCTGCTTGTATCTGGTCTTGTTTCTGCTGCGTATGTTATTATAGGTGTCACTGCCGTTTTATATATCTTGACTCTGCTTTCCGTGTTGATGTATTTGTTATTCTAAACAATGTCTCTCAAACATGGCTCCATGGCTCGTTATCTCTGCTCCCAAATATTTGAAATGGGTTACTTGTTTGACTATCTTGGAGTTGATTTCCAGCTGATCTATCGGTTCCTTTGATGTTACTAAATATTTAGTCTTCTTGATGTTGATGAGCATATTTAGTTCTTATGCTTTGGTGTTAAAAAAGTGGAGTAATCTTTGGAGATTGTCTTCGTAATCTGCAAATAAGTACTTCCTATTTTGTATCCAGCCGTTCTGAGAACATTTTCTATTATTCCATCCATTATCACATTAAACACGGAGGGGCTGAGTGAGTCTCCCGGTCTAATTCATGTGTTTACGTGTATGTCTTCTGTTGCAATGTGTCCCACTCTGATTTTTGTTCTACATTGGGTGTTTATATCGCGTATTACATTAAGCAGTCTGTGTTTTAGCCCTTTTGTCCTCATTATTTTTAGAGTATCTTTTAAGCACACTCTTTCAAAAGCTTTAGTCATATCGATGAAACACATGTATGCGGGTTTATTGAATTCTAGGAATTTTTCAGATATTTGCTAGACTATGCGTATTACATCTATTGTGGATCTGTTTTTTCGGAAGCCTTGTTGTTCTTCTCTTATTCGTACGGTTTTGGTGATTTGCCCCAGAATAGTCTTATTATCAAGTAGGGTTATTCCACGATGGTTTTCTGCGAGTGCTTTCTGTCCCTTTTCAAAAATGAGTTTTGTTATACAGTTCTTCCATTCGCTTAGTAGTTCTATATTTTTCAAATAGGGTCAGTATTTCATTTTCATTCCTTCCTCTTTCCGATTCCTAAAGTGCGTTTCCCACTGTTCTGTCGTAATTTTATTGGTTCGTATGGTATCTTTTATTTTTAGCTTATTTCTTCTCAGCATTATCTGGCTTCCATATAGGTCTCTTTTAGTTCCTTTATTTTTACATTTGCCTAGTTTCTTTCTCTTCGATAGTTGGTCCAGTTTTCATGTTTTTGATTTCGCGTATATTTGATGTATGCATTCTTCCTTCGTTTAGCTAGTTATTTCAGTTCCGGTGTGAACCATGGTGTTCTGATGATTGCATTGATTACTTGTCGCTTTCCTATAGCTTCCATGGCCTCTTCTAGTATGTTATTTTTTATTGTTTTCAATTAGTGGTCTATGCTCACTTCGGTATTCACTGATCATTGCAGTATTTTATGGTTTAATCGATCTTCATACAGATGTTTTGTACTGTCATTCTAATGATTCGCCATTGAATTTGCTAATTATTTGCTGTTTAGGTTTGGTGGATTGATGTTCAGTCTCATTTTGCAAAGTACCATCTTATGATCACTTCCAGAGTTGGGGCCATTATCTTAAGTCCAATATTGTTTGGGGTACGAACTCTCTGTTTGTGATAATATAGTCTAATACCGACTGTTGTCCTCTTGTATTTTGCCATGTGAATTTGTATTTCACCTTATGTTCGATGAAATTGTTGTTGTTTGCGCATAATATTTTCAGTAGATCTCCATCTTCGTTTGTGGTTCTTTCATTAAATCTCTGCATTATGCCATCCAGTGGTTCATTTCCTATTCTTGCATTTTGGTCACTCATAAGGATATTATCTCGTGCTCTCCTTATTTGTCCATTACTGTTTGAAGTTCTTCATAGAATCTTTCTCTCTCCTGTCTCTCCTTACTTATCTCTGGTGCATAAACGCTTAAGAAGTGCGTTTTCCCATAGTTACTACTTTTTGTTGTTCTATGATGTTCCAGTTGGCCACTCTGAGTTTATTCCGTTTCCAAATCTTCCTCCATTTTCTTGCCTTTGCCGTCATGTTTTCATCAATCAAGTTCCGAGGCTGGCTTGTGGTTTTGTGGGCTGTATTGGCCTTTTTTTACCACAGGTACTAACCTGACCTGTGAACCCTCCACACTTTATCCGGGCTTGGCAGTAGCAGTTAGGCTACAGCCGGAGTTACATGTGTACATATTTGCGCTTACCTATTAAATCGATTGGTTTAGCACATTTTGATTGCTTTTTAGACTAATCCTAAAGAATAGAATAAATTCTATATTAAAGTAAATATTAAGTTCACGACAAAACCCAAAAGTTTGTGGACTTTTTTCCTGCTTTTTGGTGTGTTCTCTCCGGTGTTTCTTGGGAACACGCGGTTTATCACCACTTTTCACTCATTGAAGCTTGCACCTTTTCCATAAGAAAGCAGGCCTCGCCATTTTACTTTGAAGTCCTAACATCTCTCACCATGCCGATGCTGCACGTACAAAAATTAATACCTTATTAGCATGTTGTCAAATTCATGTTTTGGGGGAAATAACTGCGTAACATTATTTAAAAAAAGCCAATAACTTCCAACCCCATCCAAACGAAGGAAAACAGAAAACATTTACCGAAACTAATCAAAACTCACCCAAATTAGTATCTACAACTTTAAGAAAAATCAATTAGTCTGTCCCAAGTTGGCAGTGACGTCATTTTACTGCAAAATTTTTTTTTCGATTAATTAGGTGTTTTAAAGCGTGCTGAGCTTTTTCGGCTTTTTGTCTGTCGAGAATAACATTTTTTCAAGCAATTTTTCAAAACAAAGTTTCAAGCAATGACAGCAAAAGCTCTTGATTGTGAATTAAAATTTGTTATTTTCCCATACAGTTGCTCGGTACGTCAATGGATGTATTTTGCGATATTAACGGAAAATAGTTATTCTTAACGTGGTTAGATCGGACATTTTTTGCAAATTATTGGAAGAATCTACAGTTTCAGCGAATGTATTAACAAAAGTTCGCGTATATCGTCCATTAATGTACAGCTTTTGCCAGAAAAACAATGTCACCAAAGATTGAAGAAAAAATTATAATTACTTAAGTTGTTGTAAAAAAGAAAAGCAAATAGTAAAAAGTAAGAAAGCTGCAAACAAAACATTTATCAGTGCAAAGGGTAATTAATCGTTATGAACTAATACACTGATGACCCCGTTAATGAACGCAGAGGGTGGAATCATTTGGCTTACATAATGTCTTAAACCACCAAATTTGATGTAAGTAATCGGCGGGCAATTCGGTAACACAGTTTATTTTAAAATCGTTTAAGCTAAAGCCAATAGCAACAGGAGGTAAATTGCTATAAAAATCAAACAATACTGATGAGAGT